ACCTGTTTACAAAGGGCAAGTTGTACTGTTGAGAGGGGAACTGATGTGCTCAGGATTCTTTGAACTAGGAACCCCAGTTGTACTAACTCCTTTTGTTCAGATAGGGTGATGGGAAGGCTGGCCTCAGAAACTATTACAGGTGATCAATGAAAAGGACCAAAGGCAGCAGCTGTTTCTGGTTGCCAGCAGTGAGGTACAAGAGTGTATCCCCTGGTCTTAAAGTTTCTTCCTGCCTTTTTGTTTCACTCTGGTGTTTTCCTTCTCACTGTGAAACTGATCTTCAGACCTCTTTTCTTTATACTTGCAATGATGGCAGGAATAAGACTCAAAGAACAAAGCCCACTGCATTCTATCACTTACTCTGGTAAAGGATTGGAGCCAGCAGAAGATTCCCTTTTAAAGTTATTTGTCCATAGCAGCTGTCACTGCTATGGTTCAGCTCCAGCAGGAAATGACAGCACAGGGACATCTGCTGCAAGAAACATCTTTGATTTGTTTCAAGATGTTTCACACCTCAAAGGTGTGAGAAAAGCACCAGAAAAGACCCTCCTTCCTTTATCTATCAGCAATGCCTCTGGACTCTTCCTTCTTCGGTGTGAAAATCGAGACGCATGTGTTGGACAACTGGGTGCCAACCATCTAATGGGAGCTGTACCTCTGGGTAAGCATGCGAGCAACTTGGGGAGAGGCTGTTCTCAGCATAGCAGAGCTGTGAACAGGCTTTCTGCTAAATTCTGAACTGTATCCATGCTGCTGCTAGCCTCTGTCTTTGGGCATGGTGCCAGTGTACTATTGTCTATAACGAGTTGCTGCCTAAGATGACTGGGACACACTTACCAAGCAGATGTCAATCAGCAAAGGCCTTTGGGGGCCAAGCTTCAGTGAAAGTAAATCAAGCAAGCTGGGTATGGCCAGATTGTTGTGCAAATTGGCACAGCTCCACGATTCCCCACAGCAGCAGAGGATGTATGCCCTATACTTCACATATGATTTCTTAGAGAAACAAAGCAGTGGTGACAGCTCCTCTTGGCATTCTTGTCTGCAGACTGGGATTTCAGTAAAGTTCATCTAGTGGGAAGCTGGAAAGGGATAGTGCAGTGTCTGAGGGGGAAAGAAACCCTCAAATCTAATTTGCAAAAAAACCCCATGCCAACCCCCATGCCAACCAGACCACTTTTCCAAATGAGGCTTATGCCTTAGAGTATGCATAAAGCATGCTAGTGTAATTACTGTCTTTCAAAGTTCAAAGGAAAGAAAGCTGCTGAATTATGCACTGCCAGTCAGGGTTTCTGCCAGGAGCTATTAGGAAGTGAGTACGAAGTCTGGCATTGCAGGAGGTGGCAAATGTCATTAGAGCTGGGTGGAGGGTGTTAGCCTGGTCCTTTTCTGATCGCACTGGGATGTGTCTGCCTTTGCACAATGATCATGATAGCACTTGGATGCATCTTGGGTGCTGTGTTGTGGGGGGTTGATTAAGGTTTATAAAGCAGTCTGATGCCTGATAGGGTGGAGGAGGGCAGGATTTCAGGACCGTGCCCCATGGCCGGTGCTGAATAGTTACTTGGAACCTAACCTGCATTAGCTGCTTGTGACATCAGCTCTTGCTTTGCAGCGTTGGCTTTGTCCCAAAGGTATCCTGTGGTTAGACTGTTTCTGAATTGTTTACAATTACAGGCTACACTGTTTCCTTGTCTTGGGGCTAATTGACAGCACAGTTCCTAAAGCAAAACTCTGAAGTGTTTGGTTGGTTGCATGGCCACTAGCATTTTTCCTACGCTATTGCTGACATGCCACCAATCTTACCTTCCCCTAGGGGAAGTTTCTGTAGAAGGCTTGAGGTGTATCTTGGATAAGTGTGAAGACTTAGTAGGAATTAATGTAGAACTGAAGATTGACATATCTTCAGTTCATGCCCTCACAAGAGCCTGGTACTGCTTGTTTCTCCTCCAGTCCAATCCCATGTTTTCCTCCAGAAAGTTCTACCAGGATTAGTTTTCAAAATTTACAGGCATCAAAGGTGGATCCACTACAAACCTGAAGAAAGCTACCTCACATTTAGACATCTGTCTGTGCAGAATGGGCTACTGCTGGAAGAGAGCAGAGCCTAGTTAAAAGGAATACCTGCATCCTTTCATGGATAGCATGTGCAACCGTGCAAATCCACTTCAGTGACAGCAGCAGCAGAAGAAATAAAAGGCAGTCAGCTTAGCACCTGATGTGTATATGGGACGACAGGATGGTCCTTTAAATCTTTGAGCTATAAACAAAAGTCCAAGTTGCTGCAAAGTAAGGTAGAGTGTGAACATGTAATGCATCTCATGCTGTGGTAACTGCTTGTGCCTCTTTTCTTCCCCTGCTGTAAAGATCAGCCTGCTGACCTTCAGTGAAGAACAGAGCTGTGGCACTTGCCATTGATATTGCTGGGTCACAGTGTATGTGGCTGTTCTGTGAAACAGATGATAAATTAATTCACTTACTAGCTTGCTTCTTCATTTCTACACCTACAGGCTGAAATTCCTGGCCTAGCTGAAAGCAAGTTCCTAGTGGAGCCTTTTCTGTTTTCTGGATGCACCCTCTTGGTCACAGTATTTTTGTACTGTCTTTAGAAAGCAATCAATACAGCTCTAGAGAGACATTTAGCTTTCAGATGTCCTTGCTTTCTCCATAAGCAGTGGGCTGCTTTTGTCTGTGTGCTTGTTTGGGACTGGCAGTTCCCAAGACTGTTCCCTGCTCTCTCTGATCCAGCTCTCACAGCAACAGTGGCAGGTTTGCTTGTCCTTGGGGGTGATGCTCTTTGCCTGTAGAGCTAATCAGTGCTAAGTTTCTCTCATTCAGCTTTTCCAAGTGCTTGTTTCTGTGTGCAGTCCTATTCTGACCTGACTGTGAGATTTCCCTGGGGGAGCTTTACAGCTCAGTGTGTTTATGGGAGTAGCAGTAAAAATCAAGCCACAGAGATGCTTTTTTTCCTAGATTGCCTACTCTCAATTGCATTCTGCCAGACCGCAGGGTCTATTAACATACTGTCTGCAAGCCAATACAGACTTGTTCCACCAGGAACTGGCTTGCTGTTAATACTGGACCCACCTGGCTTTGGGTCAGGCAATGCCAACTCTTCTTGCCATTTTTAGCACATTCCACTGAACTCATTAGTGTTTTGTGCCTTGAGGGGCTGACAGGGAGGGACAATTTACAGTGTCTATGCAAGTTTCGCTTGACTGGGTAAAATTCAGCTCCAGCAAGGGCTGTTATTGTTAAGAGTATGAGGATTGTTTTTACTTTCCTTTATAGTAGCACATGGGAAGTCAGGCTGTTGCCCGTTGCTAGTGTGGAGGGATCCACCTGCGTGTTCCCATCTTGCTGCAGCAGGAAACAGGTGGCTGCAGGGGTGTGTTTGGAAAGCCTGTTTGAGAAGACAAAGCCCCGTTGTCCCCACAAAGGCTCCCCAAAGGGTGACTTCACACCACCTTGATTTGTGAAACTGCCTCTGCGTAAATGCAGTCACTGTAGCTTTTAACTGCAGGGATGTCTCATGGTATCTGCTGGGAGTCTTGACCTGGCAATCTGTTCTCCTGCTAGGGAAACCTATGGCACTGCTAGGGCACTATGGCACAGAGTATTTTATCTTTGGCTGGCGCTGCTGGAAGGAGAGGCTCTGACATGTGATTTGTATCACACTAGGTGTTGTTTACCATTGGAGTGGAGCAGAATGATTCCGTCAGAGTAGGCTTCTGCTCTTTTTCCCTAGGGAAGAATCACAAGGGCCAGCGTGGCAGGGAGCACGCAGGTGCCTCTCAGAGGCCATGTCAGTAGTACAGGGAGTGACTGGGAGGGCGGCTTGTCAGAAATGCAATGTGTGACATAAGCCCTATTAAAGTGGTACAGCAGCCTTAGCTGTAAACAGACATGTGCAGGAGTGGTGTGCCATTCAGCACTCAAACTTACAGTTTCACTGTAGCTATGGTTCCTGAGAGCTCTTGTCAGCAAATGTCATGGCTCTGGCATATCTGCCTCCCCGTAGCCTATCTTGACCAAGTATCATTCCTCTCCCTATGCGTATACACATCAGCAAAGTCAGAATTAGACTTCTGCAGTTGAGTCTATCCTGGTGCTGCTATATTCTTAGGCCCTGAACAAGCTTTCTGGGGTGCTCCAGCAATGGCTGCTGGGAACAAGACCCAAAATTAGATGCTGAAAATAACACAGTTTCTAGCAGTATGTGCAATCACAGGACAGTTGCGTTGAACATGGGCTCAATGCCATTGCTGCGGATGACTTGGGAATCCGAGCTATTTGGTCTCTGGGGTGCTAACTGAATGTAGTCTTGGCAATATAACCCTATTTGGGGGAGGAAGAATGTGATTTGGGACAAATTCAGATCATAGGTGTGAAATCTAGCTACAAAGGCTTAAATGAAACCTTTGTCAACAGACTTGCAGTGTTCCCATTAACCATGTTTAGAACAACTTTATGAGGGGCCATTCCCAGAAAGTGATACATGTACAAGCTGCTTTGTAATTGGAGTGATCCCACCTGCCCTCACATGAAAAATACCATGATAGCGTTCAAGCCCATTGAGGATCCATCAAGAAACACTGGGGATCAGCACCTCAGCCACATGCAGAGTGAGACAAGACACAGTTAATGATGTATCTTTCTGTTGATGCTTGTAACCTTTATTTGGTCAGTGCTAGAAAGCGTATACAATGAATTCCCTTTCCTCCCTCTGGTTATATTGAAATTTATGGAGTGTTGTGATTTTTCTTATTTCTTTTCATGTAAATTTTGCTTACGTGAGGGATTTGTGGCAGTTCCCTTGACTGAATAATCTATACCAGCAAAAGGACTCTCTTGTTACTGAAACCCTGTCTATAGGAAGATTCATGTTGGTCTTTCAATGTTGAGGAAGCTTTTTTTTTCCTGCTAATCTGCTATAATTTCTTAGTGCAGAGGGGAAAATTCTAGTGAAAAAACTCATTTTTGTTTCTACCAAGTTCATACTTTCTCTATCTTGTGTAAGTAATATCCAGCCTTGTGGTACCAGAGTACCAATAAAACATAGGCTTTTGACTTTAGGAAAATACAATAAATTTTAATGCAACAGACAGGAGAGAGGTCCAACATGGATGTCTAATGTGTTAGTTTTATTTAAAGATGATCTCTTGGTGCTAAAGTAAGAAATGTTCTTTAAAAAACATCAAATAAATAAATAAATAAATAAATAAAAATAGGAATAACTTTCTGTTGAAGAGCTTAGCAAGCATCCGGCTTTCATCTTGGGAGGAACGTGTACTGTAAAGCATTCTTCAGAGTAGGATATAGGGAGGTTGTCCTAATTCTTCCTGGAACCTGCAAGCCAAACACGAAGTAAGTGTTACCTGTATCTGTTTCTCTCTCAGTATATGCCACCATTATCAGCAGTACTTTTACCTACCAGATCAATAGACACAGGCTTTCTTTTGAAAAAACAGTACTAGCTTAAATGTTAGGCTAAACTTAATTTCTTTCTCAAACCATGTCTTATTAAAGACTTAAATAAGAGCCTCCTTCTCCCTTGTCACATGACACAGATTGCAGTCTGTTCTGTTCAGCAAAATGGCTTAGGTGGGACTCACCATTGCAACCCATTCCACTCAGGGAGCCGATTCTATCGATTCTTCTGCCGAAGCAGCCAGAATCTCTCATCATCCTGGGCATCTGCAGCCCCCTCAGTCTCTTGAGGAAGGGGTCCCTGTAGGATAGAGGGCTGCTGGGTGCTAGCCTGGGTTCAGCCTTCTGGTCATCACTGTCATCTATGAGTTCTGGTGGCATCTCCTGGGTTTTGGGTTCTTGCAGGTCAGGATTAGACTCCAGGGCTTCAATCATTGCAAACTTATCCTCCAGTCTCTCCAGCAGAGCCTACAAGAGAAGGATTAATTTAATGAAATTCCTAGTTTTGTGGTCATTTGCTAGCTCTTCCAGTCATCCAGTTCTGCATTCAGCAATGGTCCCATAGCCAGCCCTAGGGAGACTGTCAGGTTGGATCCCAGGGTTACTGGTGATACTTGAACTCTGTCCCCTGCAGTAAATCCCTGTACACATTAATTCCACCTATGGGTAGCTCTAGCTGAGAGCTGAATGAAGCTGTTTGCCACCAAAGTGCATCTTACTGGCAAGGTTAGAAGAGCTCTTTGCAGAGAAAAAAAGCAGGGTCGGAGTTGCACAGGGAGATACTACTCAACACACCAATGGTACACAATCTCAAAGTACCTCTGAATCCATAGTCCACTCCTATGTTCTTAGAAGTTGCCTGCAATGCTCCTTACCAGCTGTTGGCTTTTTTTTTTTTTTTTTTTTTTTTTTTTATCTGCTTGCTTGTCACGCCTTGCTATTTCAATGGACATCACTTGGAGAAGCTCTCGGTGTTTTCACTGATCTCTGCCTCAGGAGTTACATGATTGCTGCTCCTTAAAGTAACATGCATCTCCCTGAAAATACCTGTATGCTAAATCTATGACTGCTATGTCACTTCTTCCTGAGTACTGTTCTCTCCAATTTTTAAAGCTTTGTGTAACAGGGATCAGATAACCTCCTCAAGGGCAGCTCAACCAATTAGAGGAATCTAGTTGTCCGTCTCTAGAAGTAGAGTGGAGAGGAGTGAGCCTTATGGCTTGCTTGACAGTGAATGCATTTGGAAGCCACTCTTCTCGGTTAGCTGCTGGAAACAGCCTAGAGGCATGGGGCAGTTTTAGCTTTGGCTGACACTGTCCTAATCATCTTAGGGGGTTTGTTCTCAGGGTATGATGCTGTGAGAAGCTGGTCACTGGTACCAGTCCAAGGAAAAGTTTGAGCTTTCAGACTTCATCTTGCAAGACTGAGTCTTAAGCTTGTACTGTGCTGCAACAATGGATGTTCTCATTCCTTAAAATATGCACCTGGTAATTTCATAGCTCTAGAAGCTTTTCTGGATGAGTCACAGTAAATGATCATACTATTCCTCTAGCAACTTTTCTAAAATTTTGACTTTGGGTGCTCCACTTTACCTCCTTATCTCCCATCCACATGCAGCCAGTTCTCTTAAATCCACAAAGCTAGAGCCATATGGTTGTCCACCTTCACTGTTCCTGCCATTTAGTGGGATAAACAGAAGCCTACCTGAAAGTTTTCTATTTGTTCTTATAGAGCTACTGTGATGATTTTTTTTTCCCTCTCTGGGACTTTGCTCCCAGGAAGGTGGATCTTTAAGAGAAAAAGAACCAAAAACCCAAAGCAGGTATCCTACATCAGAATTTTGTTTCTCAGTGCTACCCAGTAGCTCAGGTGAACCCAGCACTGGAGGATATTGCTCTGTAGAGCTTCTCTGAACCCCTGTGAAGAACTGAGACTTTGTCCCCCAGCATGTGATTGCTGATGTGGCTATCCAATAGTGCAAAATATTAGCAAAACCACCACCTCACACTCTGCTAAGTACCCCAAAAGTTTAACCATGCAAAAGGAGAAAGTCCTCACCTCCATGCTGGCCAGTTCTTTGGCAGGGCTGAGGCTGTAGATAGGGTTGGCTCTGCTGGACTGGAGTTGGATGAGCAGCAGCAAGAGGAAGCCACAGGAAAATGAGCCTTTAGTGTCCATGGCGCTGGGTTCGTTGGGAATAGGGAAGTTCAAGCTGTTTCTTCTGAGATATCTCTTCAGGTCTCTCTCTTCCTTGTCCTATTCTCTCTCTTCCGAAGCTTGTCTTTTATACTATTTGGGTGTGATCTCTGCTTCCTAGGTTATCAGTGGATTTATCTGGGGCACATTCCAGTCCCACTGCAGGCATGCAGCTCTGTCAAGGGAAGATTCCCTTTATTAGCTGTCATTAGGCAGCAGCTGCTGTTGCTGAGGAATGTATGTCACAAGTCAGTGATTTCATGTCACTCCCCCTCCTCTTGATACCAGGCGCTGTGATTACATAGTCCAGTTGGAAATTCTTAGCAATTTTCTTTCAAGAGACCCCTATGGTCAGATTTACGGAGATGGGAAACAACCCTGAAACTGCTCTAAACTCCGCTTAGAAGCTTTCCATAGGGAAATTACCTTTTACAGGGAAAACAATAGGCTTTTCAGATGAGTATTTGGTGGAGAATAAAGGCTGAAGATAAATCTACTTTTAGGACACCTAAAGTATCGTGCACACTTTCCTTCTATATATGGAATATGCACAGCCACTGCATACCATGGAGTGTGCTGAAAATCCCAGGTTTGGGCCACTTCTTCTTTCCCATTGCTCTTGAGGTGATACCACCGTTGAGACTTTGTATTTGTATGTTGCCAACAACAGAGGCGCCCCGATCTGCACCTCAATACAGACGGTAACTTCTAGACTGACTCTGCAGGGACACCGAGTACTTCCAGCCCCCTGCGACAACTGACTTCGGCACCATTGAAAAATACTAGTCTTTATTAACAGCTAAATGTTTAAATCAATGGGATTTCTTTAAACATCGATGGTAAGGCTTGACCCTACATCAGTAAAACTTAAAGAAGAGATGGTCAGATTCAGGAATAATCTTGTACCGTCATACAAGAAAGCAGCTTGCTCAACGGGAACTTTAGATAGATGGCTTTCAGTGTTATTCAGCAAAGGCATCAGGATCTGGCCCCAAGGAAGAATGAATGAATTTGTGTATATGTGTGTTTTGGGAGGGGTTAAAATGAAATGTTTAGTTTAATATATTAAAACCAAAAAGTATTTATTTGTTTTTTTGAGAGCTGAAGTTTTCGAGATTAGCTAAAAACTGCCTATGCTTAAATGCAAAATTACAAAAATGCAGATTTGATGCAAATTCCTCTTCCAGCATTGTCTTTGTGCTTATAGTGCAACTAAAAATTAATCTTTCTTACAGAACTGCAGGAGAGTTCTAAATTATGAAGCATATTGCTTATCCTGCATTTTTCTAATGTCTCTTGTTATTCTAAATTGAAACAAGAATGAATATATGAGCAAGTTGAATATGTCAGTGTAGTAATAATTTGTTGACTTTAATATGAACATAGATCTTGAAAGAATCTCCTGAGTACAGTTTCTAAATAATAACAGGATGATAAAATATTTCTCACGTCTTAAATGTCTTAACATGGTGTTTGTGTACAAACATGTGCACACACTGTTCACATGATCAGCTACCAAAATTATGCTAGAAAGGACATTCTCAAGGTTGTGAAGTCAAGCTCAAATGCTACTTTTTCCTAATACAGCCTGAAGTCAGCCCAACTCTGCATGTGTTCTGATGAAGCCCTTTATTATAAAAGCACTCTCTATTTTTCCCCCAATGCTTGCTTTTTTCAGTACATGGAGGCAGTATTCATTTTTTGTATTATTGTATGTCCCAACACATTCTTATTTTGTGCTATTAAGAAAGAACTAAGATCCTGATAGCTTTTTTTAAAATTAACACTCCATGTTGCAGTGTCTGTATAATTCACTAATTACGAGTATTCCCTTACTGCTGCTTTGGGGTATGTATGTGTGTGTTTGTGCCAGGGCGTAACTGGGTTTTGTAAATTGAGAAAGTGTGAGAAGATAAACCAGAATTATTCATTAATATTGAGTGTCCAATTTAAGATAACTAGGATCTGTTATTGTTTTATTCTTCCTTTCTTTTCACCCCCTCCCACCTGCTAAGTATTCTCTAGTGCTATCTCTGTGCAAAAACATTCTGTCATTTGATCTGAGTTTTGCCTGAGAGCTCAGCACATCTGTAAAGCAACCCCTGGGGCACAAACCCAGCAGCAAGAAACCAAAGAACACAATATCCATCCCAGGTGTGAAATACTTTGCTTTGAGTGACCTGTCCCTGTGAAACAATCTAATATTCCAGGATTGTATTCAATAACCTGGACCCAGAGATACTCCTTTCTTTTACTGGTTTGTTCCATTTCCATCTTCCATATTCCACAGCAGATAAATGAGATGTAGGGGCCTGACTTCAGCCTTGACAACACTTTTCTAAGACAGGGAGATTTCTGTGCATTGTTTCATGTACTATGTATGGAAGGATGTAGATGGGATAAAATAGCTGACCATCACAGTAGCTATTGTATTTTCAAAGCCAAATTTTGCCCTCTATTATCCCTCTCACAGTCCTGCCAAAGCAAATGGAGTGTAAAATGTCAGAACTCAGTTCATTGTTGTTGAAGCTATAAAGCTCACCTGTTTGTTTGCTTGTGGTATCTCAGTATCCTCACCTTGGCAAGATTAATATGAACTTTAGGCTTTAAAGCCCAGCAATGGATAGTCAAGATTCAGGCAATGTCCATGCCTTGCTGGCTATTTGCCTAGTAAAACCCCTGGTGGGAGTCTTAACAGGGCAGCAAGTTCTTATAAAAAGCATACTGTGACCTGTTTTAGTGTTGGGAAATTGGCACATTTCCCCGCGATCCCAGGGTATGGGACAGGAGGTATGGGATATGAGGCTCCATTAGAAAGCAGCATGGGTTGCTCAGAGCAGAGAGGGAGAGCACCAAGGGTGCTGCCGGCAGCCCCATGTGTGAAGCCCTGCAAGGAGGAGCATGGTACACGGACAGAGCTCAGCTGAGGGTGACACTGCCCTTTCCCCAGCAGGATGGTGAGATGTCCTTGTTTTTCAGCCCTGTAAGGCTAAGGATTGTAAGCCTAGGGGCTGGTGTCATGTGGATTCCTTCTGCTGATAGATCTGTCCTAACTGATGCCCCTACCTGCTGCACTTCCTTCCCGTGATGCCCATTCTCCTGTTGCTGTTTTGCAGCTGAAGAGTGCTAGAGTGTGAGCTGATTGTAAAGTGCCTTTGTAGTCCTGTTCTGAGGAAGAGGCTGGATTTGGATTCCTTTCCTCTCCCAGTGCCTAAACCCTTTGACAAGACCAAGCCATACCCCACCCAAGCTCTTTTTCCCTGCCTCACATTTCAGTTAGATTAAGAGGGAAATGAAGAGATGAGGCCATCGGTGCGTGAAACGAAAGGGAAATGTAATAATGTCCAGCGCAGGGCATGCAGCACCAAGATCATAGGACAAGCCATACTGCAATTAAGATAGCTAAGTGTTGCCTCACTCTTTCCATGAGGGATGAAACTTATTTTCATCCCAAACATGGATTGTTTCTCCCACTGACCGGGATATATTGTCTCTGTGATGTGGCTCCCCCTTCATTGCTGGACACTCCAGGCTCAGTGTGGCCCCTGCCTCTCTCAGTTCCTTTAGAGCAGGGTGTTTGGCAATGCCTTGAGCCTTTTTGTCTGTTTAGGGCTCCCAGTGCTTCACAGCCTTGTCTTGAGAGGCCGGAGAGGGCTTTGCACAAAACCCGGGCAGAAAAGTGAGGGGCGCTTCGCTGAAGCCGAGTGACACGAGCCTGGGGAAAAGCAGTCGTGTGAGCTGTGCTGGCCCGGGGGAGCTGGGCTTGGCTGCTCTCCGGGACCGGGTAACGGGGGAGGCCGAGCCCCGGGCGGGCAGCGCCGAGCCCGGGGCCGGCGGGGGGAGCCCGGCGGGGCCGGCGCTCGGCGTGCGGGGCGACTGGCGTCTGTCCCGGGTCCTGAACGCCTCGCGGCCCTTCGCCCGCAGCGGCAGCCGTTCAGCAGCCGCTGCCAAATGTATTTTTAAAGCGATGTAGCCTTTCTGTCCTTAGCGGCACCCCATGCTGGTCCGCCGTGCCAAACTCGGCACCGATACCAGCGGCTTAGCGCGTGTAGGACACTACCTGGAATTAACCCCAAGGCCAGTGTCCGGCTCCCGGGAGGATTCGCAGCTAGCAGCGGTGAAGCCGTCGGGAAAGGCATCACGGCTCACTGCCACGGTCCCAGAGCTGGCATTGGTGCCTGACAGTCCCTCTTCAGTGCAGCGTGGAGGGTCACTTGACTGATCGTTGTCCTGGAAGGATGCAACCACCATCCCTCCTGCTGCTGCGACCCTCCAGCAAAGGCTTGTCCAGACTGGGTGGGATGCTCCGGCCAGGGTCGGGAGTGAGCCCTTGAGGCAGAGGGAGAGGGGCGCTCTGGAGGGGATTTCTCTATCTTCTGACCGTGTTCTACGCCGTGACCGAAAAAAACACTCACAAAAGGCAATGCAGGCTTTGTACAAAAGTTTATTGCTCCATCGCCCACCCCCGCGGAGGACCCGAGGGCGAGCCTGACCGTCTGGCTGCTGGGCACCGGCCTGGAGGCTCAGGAAGCGCTTGGGAGCCGGTCCCGGCTTCAGCTTCTCCCTCTCCTCCAGAAACCTGGGAGAGAAAGGCAGAGAGCTGCTGGGGGAGCCGCTCCGAGGCTTTTAGCCGAGGACAGCGGCCGCTCTCAGCGGCTGCCCCGGCCGCCTCCGCTTCGGCGGGCAGGGGCGAGCTCCGGGCTCCCCCGCTTCCCGGAGCCGCGGGGAGCCGCGGGCTCTAACCCGGCACCTACGGGCTTTGTACTGGTTGCATCCCAGCCCCGTCTGCGCGCCGATCCTCTCCATCCTCGTCCCAAAGCAGCCGGAGAAGTGCCTCCGTCTGTAGGAGGAGAGGAGGCTCCTCCACTGGGTCTGCCCTTCCGCCGGCTGGGGAGGGCTGGGCGCCGGGAGCGGGGCACCCGGCGGGCCGCTCTCCGCCCCCGGGAGGTCCCACTCGGAGCCGCCGTCCTCAGCCCCGGCCATCGGTTCGTCTTCCAGGCCCGGTTCCCCTTCCTCCTCCTGGAGCTGCCCCAGAGCCTCCAGGAGGTCCTGGAGAGGGAAGGAGAGGGGAGAAACAACGGCCGCGGCGGGGGGACGGGGACCCCGGTTCCTGCCCGCTTCGCTCTGACGGGACGGGTGCGGGTGGCCGCCCTGGGAGCCCCGGCCCGCCCCTGCCCCGGTACCTGCAGGGACCGCAGCTCCGCACCGTGCTCGCCGCCGGCCGGCTGCGCTGCTGCCCATGGCAGGACGAGCAGCAGCAGCGAGGCCCCGCAGCAGAGAGTCGGGAGCTGCATCCTATCCTATCCTATCCTATCCTATCCTATCCCAGCTGGGCACCGAGTCGCTGCTTTGGCCATGGATGCCTCTCCTTATATCCCTATTCTCTGCCCGGAGGGAGCTCACCTGCCTCCTGCCAGATCCCCGCAGGAGTCGGAGTGCCGCACTCTGCCCCACGGCTTCGATAAGGGAACTAGTTACAACTGGCCCCACAGGTGACCCTTCAGGAGAGGGGGGTCTCCTGAGTGCAGCAACTCCTCCAGAGGGAGAGAACTGCCGCAAGTCATCTCCTCCCCTCCTGGCAGCACTCATTTTCCCAGAGATTTCCTCCCCCTCCACCCTCTGCTCTCCATCACTGTTAGGTAGGAGTTGATGCAGTGAAAGGACCTTGCACTTTCTCCCTGTTTGCTCTGCTTCACATCTACAGGCATGCAGGAGCCATGAGCTGGCCCAAGCAGGGGGTTGATTTCCCCTCCAAGGGGATGAGCGATGGATCATTTCTCCTCCATGGGGAGGAGAAGTGGGGGGAATCAGACATTTTCCTCTGTCTGCAGCAGCTCCCAACAGCTTTTTCTTCTCTGTATACATATTTTTGTGCTATGTGAATAGACCATGTCCTGAGATTTGGGTTTAGGAGATTTTCCTTCCTTGCAAGTTCATGTGATGGTGATGGTTCTTGACTTCCTCCGGCATTGCCTGCAAACCCTTCCCTCTATAGCTAAGAGGCACTAATGTTTTAGTGGCCTAAGTCTGCCTTGAGTAATGGTATAGCTGACCACTGCTATAAACAATACTTGCTCTCTAGCCATGCCTTGGCTACAGCAGTGAATCAGTCACCACCCTCTCCTCATATCACACCATCTTTCCCGTAAATGATGGTGTGTTCTGTCCCCCACAGCTTGGGTTGGAGTGAGAAATTCCTGTGGAGAAAAATGTTCTTTCCAGAAAGCCCAGGGGCCTTGCCCAAAGAAAGAGATTTTGTAGATCTTTAGATTTAGGCTCCCCAGATAAAAGTCTCTGAATTACCAATTTGCCAATTGTAACAGGCAGCCTGTTTGTATGAAACTTTCTCTTATTTTGCCTCAGAGCTTTACAGCAGTTTCTTATTAACTTTCAGTAAAACTTTCAGTGTCTCTTCTGTGTGAGTGGTGAATTTCAACTATAAATGAGTACAATTTCCACTGCTCCCAGGGTACAAATCAAGATGACCCTGTTAGATCCTTGCAGAATGAAAGTCAGAACCCATGATATCCAGTGTATAGAACAGCAGACAGGGTAATATTAAAGCAATTACACTAAGTCTCTGCCTTCTGCCCTCCTTGTTTCCTTAGCCAGTACACTCATAAATCTCTCCGATTTCACTTGATATGCAGTGATTTCTGCTTGGGCCCTTATTTCAGAGAATGTCCTAAAGCTCAGCAATGCCAAAGAAAGCCTTTCCTCCGAGTTCAAAGGGTTTTGAACCAAGCTGTTGTGGACTTATTACTGCTAGGTGCTGTATGAACAAGCAACAACATACATTATGCTTTTACATGTCCTTCCCCCATTTTCTTGTCCTTCTGTTCCACAAATCTACCTACAGCTGACATAATTTATCTTAGATTGGAAGCAAACTATCAATATCAGCTGGTGGGGGACAATGATCTCTGCATCTAGCAGTATTAACAGTTGGCAAGTGGTTTTGTTTAAGGCATCACTGCAAAGAAGAATCTGGCAGAGAAACAAGGTGCATGTTTTGAAAGTACGGTACATGAATGAAGGAAGCTTGCATCATGAGTGTTATGTTTATACAGAATAAGAGCAGATAGCTAAGGTGAGGATGTGCATCATCAATTTTGTGTGTAGTAAAGACAGACAGGAGTGGAAAGGGATAAAGCAGCGAGAGTGTATGGGATCTGTGTGATGACCAAGTGAAATAAATGTAACTTAGCCCTCTAATAATAAACTAGGCAGACTTGAATCTTGGATGAGACCAAATCTTGACTGCTGCCTAACATCACTTATAAAGAGGTACCCCAAAAGCAGGCACATTTGAGAAAGATACCTGTATGTTTCTTTCTGTGTAGGAGTAGTTTTATTGCAGGCTTTTCTCCTCTGCAACTTCTGTAATCCTAGTCTGTAAATTCATGCACTGCTGCTTAGTGGAGATGGAAATGACACAGCTAGAGATGAGCTTCCGCCATCTGACTGGCTTGTTAACTTCAAAGGTTAGCTTTGATTATTTAAATGCTAATAGAACTCAGCAAATTACCTAAAGTACAAACACACCTGGCTTCAGTCCTAGGGATCTAATTATGGAGCCTTTTATGTGAAATAAATTGTTCTTGCTTTCTGAAAATTGGCTTTTTAAAGTGTTCACACAAAATGCCAGGTGATGGGATGGCACATTACCAGTTCAGCCTCTGTGGAATTGGAGCTCTTATCTGTTTCTTATTCATCTTCTGTAGGATTTCGTCCACAAGTGCTCACAGTTCAGTCTTTGACCTCCTCTGACCTCTGTTATTTTATCTGCAAATAATTTCAATGACCCACAGTTTATGTTAGTGTAGCTGAGTTTGGAAACAGGCTGAGGATGTTCAGGAAACAAGCTCCAGTAGCACTTACCCTTCATTGGATTTTCAGTGAAATTTCAAAATCAGGAAGCTTTTATGCCTATGAGAACCTGACTGTTCCTAGGGTTACTGAGAGCTGGGAGCAAGCTATCAGACACAGGATTATTAGGAAGGAGGCTGTAACCTTTCCATTAGCCCCATCACAAGATACTAGCTCTTCATTGTTTGACACCATAATGGTCCATCGGCTTCGTGGATTAACCTTTCCACTGTATAGATTGAACCTGGGCCAGCCCCAGGGCTAGCATACCTGAAGAGGGACTCTATTTAAGAAAGCTGGATGCTTCCTGTCAAGTTCCCACAAATAAGCATGTCTGCTTCTTCTTAGTGTAAGCTGTTGTGTAGTGGGGGAAAAGAAGTTAAAATCTCTTCCTGACTCTATGAAGGTGTATTAAGTTAGAATAATGAATCAGAAATCTCTCTGCTCATGTTTGTGCAGGGCAGAGGTCTTTGTATGATGGAAGCTACAGCAAGGGAGAGTGTTATCTGTATGGCCCAACAAGACTCCAGACGTCCAGGAGAATTTGCCCACAAATTACTGTGTAGTCTATGGGGCTCCATCTAGAAAAGCTGTTCATACTGATCAGACCACAGTGTTAGTTTTAAGACATGCATAGCCTGTCTATTAATATGTGAATTATGCTGAAAACTGATTTATTCTTTCATCCTCCATTTCCCACTTTAATTCTTCATCTGACTGGTGAAATGCTTCATTTTCTTGTTGTTTTGCTTAGGAAAGGCAACACAGACTGTAATAAATTCATTATATGGACTCTTCTGTTGTTCGAGAGCTTGTACTCGGGGGTGCCTATGTAAGTGATGAGACTATTCCTTGCCAACGAGTGTCTCTTCAGGGCATTTTCACTGTTGCTAATGCTTTGTTATCAAAGTTAACTTAAACAGAGTAAGTAGCAAACAGCATTAGACCTAAAAAAAACTGTTAACTAGACAAGCCTTCAGGATATGTTGTTGAATTTTCAGCTCAGGATTTGTGTTGATAGCCTCGTATCTGGTTTGAGGAGAGAAAGATTCTGGAGGATGGAATAGCCATAGACAGGTAGAATTAATGGTAATTTCTAAATGTGCAAGAGATATTGAAAGGGTAAAAGATTGCAAGAAAATAGAGAGAGAAGCTATTGGTAGCTTGTGCAAGGGGAGAGTATCTCCATTAACAAATTGTTCTGTGCTTTCTGGTCTGTGATAGTCAGCTCTTAAGTGTTGAAGCATATGTTCATGAGCTTGTTGTACTGATGTCCTTCCTAGAGCAAGTCTGTGGCATCAGGGTGGAAGCTATATCTTGAAAATAGCATGAGAGAAGAACAAAGCTTTCTCTAGTTTGGCTCTGGGGTCTTGGATTGCCTTCATTCTATGGGAGTTGTGGTTAGAAGGAGCAGAACCAAATCACAGAGTTTAAGTGATTGAGGCAGGCCCAGAAACTAGACCTCTATCTGCTCTGTGCAAACAAGCTTTCTTAATGAGAGCTGAACTGCCAGGGATTCAGAGCACATGCAGCTAGAGGGTTGCTTTGCATAGATGTTTGCGCTCCATGTTGCAGTTTACATCCAGGGGTCCTGTTAGGAATAGACTTATTACAAGAATATTTTCTTGCAGGAGTTTCTGTCTTGTGGGCAAGAAAATGGGAGGAGTACAACTGTGTAGGCCATCTGTCCACTCCAAGCAAAAGCCTGGAAGTGAACAGCTGTGGCTGTGACCATCAGCGTAGACATTTGTGTTCCATGTGTGAGCGTGGAAATCTTCCTGATTTCCATGAAGCTGCTTGCAGAGTTCAGCTCTCATCAACATCAGGATAGCACAGTCACGATCTTGGCAAACCAGCCTTCATACAGAATTCCTTTGGCTCAGGATGTTTGCCAAGTAGGTGTTCTCTGATTGGTCATAGTTAGATTCAGTGAATACTTGGTTTGCTTAAAAAATAGAATGGGCAGATAAATTTTTTTTTGGTATAATTTTGACTTTACTTTTTTGTTGGAAAAATGCTTTGCAATATCTGGATCTGCCTATGGAAGAGTAGGGTGCCCTTGAGCTTTCTTCAAAGAAGGATAGCATTTTTTTTGGACAAGATGAGATACACTAATAAGAAACAATTGTTTTCCTCTGTCAGGGGCAGATCCAAATGCAGAGTAACAGCTTTCTACTCATGTCAGCTAATACAGCTACCCTTTTAGTTCAAATTGTGGTGGTCAAAGACTTGGGGTGTTGTGTCCTGGTTTCTGATGACTCGTTTGTGAAGATGGCTATGTCAGTCTTGTTCCTGTTATATTTATATTTAGATAGTAATATCTTAATTTCAGAAAGGTTCTTTCGGTGAAAAGAAGGGCTTGTTTGATTGTGTGTCCTTTTTTTTATTTATTTTAAGAGCAGGTAAAAAGCCCTTTTTACCAGAA